AACTATGCATGCACTCAGTTTGATTTTAATAATTTTTTTATTCGCTATGTTTATGGTATTAGTCGTAATGCGCATAGGTCCAGTTTTTCATATTCTTTGATACAGTTTTTTGCGTCTCATAGAATTCCTAAGCGTACCTACCTATACACCGAACTGTTACACCTAACTACTCAGTGAAATAGCGCTAAGTCCTAGCTGCAAGACGCAAGAGTCTTGCAGGCTATGTCTTGTTCTTGCTCAAGTCTTGCACGGTCAGTCTTGGTCTTGGTCTTGCTAAAAATACGCGGTCTTGTTCTTGGTCTTGGTCTTGCAAAAACGCAAGAACAAGACCAAGACCGCAAGACCAAGACTGAATTTGGGCAACACTAGCCGTCACACTGTTTATAGATTATCTGGAGTTAAAAACATGGTTAACAATCGCGTCAATGTTTTCGTAACGTACAATATGAATATTTTGTGAAAGTCCATGAGGTTTGGAACTAGCTCTACTTACTCGTATCTTAAAGAGGAGATTTTTTTGACAAATTTGCATTTTTCGTTTAATTTATGGAAATCGCAAAGGATAATGTTTGAGTAGGCCGTAAAAGATACAGTAGCGGAAATTGGATTTATTAATTGCCATTTTTATTACTGCTGAGTAAGTTTGATTCGCCCGCATCAAAATTTAATTTGTATTTGTCGAGTTGAAATAAGACAAAGAAAGTTATTTACCGTTCGACAATCTCCCAATCTTTTTAGTTTGCTTGTTTGCTCACTGTGCCCACTCGTGTGTCACAGTTCCGAACTGTTGGTGACAGAATAATAAAAAATGCAATTTCTGTGGGTTTACGTGTAGGTGTATCGATATGTCATTTATTTAGGGAACGCCATGGGTCTACGGAACATCTCTGGCATGGCCGTCATCCCCGAGTGGGGTCCATTCTATACGACACCCAGCTAGATTTCATAGACTTCGTTATGCTATTTCGTTCATTTAGGTAAAAGAAAACTTAAAAAACAATAAGCGAAGTCTGGGAGAGTTGAACCGCTTTTTGTTTAAAGTATCATATTTTCTTTTAAATAAGGCTTAGTGATTCAATTATAATAATAAACAGTAGCTTGTNTAATTTTAGGTGCTTCTAACATCTGTATAAAACTTGTTAGAATTTATCTTCAATTGACTCTCAGTTTTGAGCAGAAATTCCCATTTGGGTCAGCCTGCAGGGGGCAACAGCAACAACATCCGCTTTCTTGAAAATCCTAGCCTTAAATAACTTATCTAATGCATATTAAAATGTGTGTAACTTTGATGTTGAAAAGTTACTTCTACATATTCATCCTATTCACTTCAACTTCGGCAAACAAAGTTTCTATTAATTGATACCGAGTTTACAAGTTTTCCTTTTATTCATGAAATAACCTACGGTGCCCGCAATTTCCTTCTCTGCTAACACGTATACGAATATAAATTCGGATTTGGCTTCTATTCGTCGATTTGCAATTCTAACTTCGTATGGATGCAAAATAGTTGTACAAAACTATGCAATGAATCAGAAAAATTTTGAAATTTCGCTTAACATATCTTTTCAACCGACTTTAAGACAAGGAAAAAAATAGAAGGAGGAGACTGTGGTAAATATTAATTACAAAATTAAAAGAAATACTCACCCCTAATTACCACAAATAAATTTTATATGAGCGGACACGTGTTTCGCGTTGATAATGCCCACGTGTGAAGTGGGCGAAACACGTGTCCGCTCATATAAAATTTATTTGTGGTGAGTATTCCTCTTAATTTTTTAATTAAGACAAGGAGATTTTAATGATTTTTCTTTAATTGGATAGGTTAAATCTCAAAGATGGTCCCTTTTAAATTTAAAAAGATATTCTAGCAGTAAGGGTGGAAACTTGGCGGATGATAAAAGGACTACTTGAAGAGATTACGCAGTCTCGTCATTTTTTTTCTGATATTTCTCATTGTGTTAAGCTGCATCCCAAGCGTAGTCCTATTTGAATTTGTGAACCTATTGGAACGTAGCTTCTTATTGCTCATTACTGAGGCAAGCAGCAAACCAGTAAAAATCAGCGTTGCCAGTTTTTGCGAAATTTTCTTATAGTTCCCCAGAGATTTTTATGGCAAACAAACGTTTAAGTAAAAAAAAGATTTCCTTAACTATTCACAAGTATTTGACGAAGTTTTCAAAGTACAATTAATCTTTAAACAACAATAACTCAAATGGCATAAAAAACACAAAATTCGCAATACTTTTTGAACTGACTTCTTATATCCAATGGGAGTCATTTTTAAAAGCTTCGGAAGCTAGCCGATAGTTCAAAAATTGCCTTTTTGAAATATTCTGAGCAGATAGCACGGAATGCATACGTTAGATGCTTATCAGTTTTTTTGTATGGTACCGGATGTCGACAACACCACACGTCTTGGTAGTTCAAGTAACTGCAAATAGATGAAGCACCTGTAGGTATTTATCGGCAGTATATTTAAACTATTTTCACATCTTACTTAACGTCTGAACTCTGTCAGTATTTCAAATTCCTTCGTCCTGACTTTTGTTTTTATTTCTTAAAAACATTTATGTCTCATACCTCCTCATTTTATTCTTTAATAGGTTTAGTTATATCTACACATACTTACATGTATCTTCTTAAAATATACTGAAATTGATGTCATGTTTAAATTGCTTTAAATTCGTATATTTCGCTAAAAACGAAAACGCTTTGATGTTTAAAGAAAGTCGACTCTTTTGAATAAAGAGTTTGTTCGTCTTTTCAGTTATTGTGTTCATGGATACAGTTTCGCTCATAGGTAATTTCAATGGCGATATGAAACAAGTCGAGGAAGGCTCTATCGAAAGTAGACGAAATCTAGGTCAATTGTATAACGCTTTTATTATATTCTGTCGCATTTTTCACAATTTTATGCGACTCATGTTCGTGATTTTTATAGCAATTCCTTCACAGTACTCACTGGATAGTGTGAACAAAAAATAGTTTTCACATTATCAATTTGTTACTAATTTAAACATCTACATCACCATCATTTAATCTGTTCATCACGAGCGATTTCTTGTAATGAGTAAAAGTTTTTTATCTGTATGTCTAAAAAGAAAATTATCAGGAATAGTCTAGGACAGGGATGGCGAACCAATGGCACGCGTGCCATTAGTGGCACGCGACACAATATTTTGGGCACGTCACTAATATCAGTAATAAAGTCTAGTTCAATATGGATCCAAAAATTTATTCAAACAAGGAAACTAATTGAAACAGAAAGACTGGCAAGAAATACAAGTGAAAATGCTAATAACAAAATTTGGGAAACATGAAATGCGTTACCAAACACTTTCAATTGTTTGAAGAAGCTGGCTTATGTTCTTTTAACAATTTTTTTTCGTCAACTTATGCCTGCTAGTCATTGTTTTCAGAGAAGAATAACATTAAAAACTCGGTTAGAAATCGTTCAACAGATAACTCCAGTTCAGCAAGCATTCTGCTAAAAGTAACATCTTACAACCCTAACATAAGTTATTTGTCATCTAATCTGCAACAACAAAAGTAACACTAATTTTACTTTAATTTAAATTACACGTAGTTTAGACATTGCAAAATGTTCCTATTTTTTGTAGTAAATAAAAAAGTTTAAGTTGATATTATTATTATTTTCCCAATAATCACAGAGACAAAATTATTTGATGGCACGTCTTTGACCTGNTAGAAATCGTTTGACAGATAACTCCAGTTCAGCATGCATTCTGCTAAAAGTAACATCTTACAACCCTAACATAAGTTATTTGTCATCTAATCTGCAACAACAAAAGTAACACTAATTTTACTTTAATTTAAATTACACGTATAATTTATACATTGCAAAACGTTCATATTTTTTTGTAGTAAATAAAAAAGTTTAAGTTGATATTATTTATTATTATTATTTTCCCAATAATCACAGACACAAAATTATTTGATGGCACGTCTATGACCTGATTAAACTTTTCTTTATAAAAATGGCACGTCGATACGTAAAGGTTCGCCATCCCTGGTCTAGGATACTGTTTTAGATTTTATTTATTATAAACAATTGGAACTTAGAACCTTCACACAGATGAAGATACAAGTAGAAAAAATCTAAAACGAATTGCATTTAATATTTGTAAAACCTTGCTCTTAAATCTTACCGACTAACAAAGATCCTGGGCGTGTTTTCGCAACGCGGGTGTAATACAGCTGAATCATTGAGTACAACAAAATGAGATAAGAACTGGGCAGCTACATATGGATGGAATGTAAACTGAACAATTTCGGTTGTCCGATGCATAATTTAAACATAAACAACAACTTACTTATCATACAATACTTAGTAAATACCAGTAACTACTTTAAACAAGTCCACAATTTAAGACAAAATATCCACTTATTGATTGACTGATAAGCTAAAGATATAGATACTTGGATTCACTTTAAAATCCAAGCGGAAATTTTTTAGATGTAGTCGCTGTAAGGCTAATACCGGGTACCCAGTCATCCCGTACCCGGTAAAACTACTATCTAGTGCATCTCTAATAAAAAAAGTATAATTAAGAAACATGATGTTCAATGAATATATTAAGGATGNTAATTATTCAACATTTTGTTAACAAAATTAAACATTTAACGTTTCTTTAATCAAACTTATTGGTCTTTCTTAACGTTTTGTTTAAATTATATACTTATTCTAGTCATTTGGTATCATCAGTTAGCCTTAATAATTACTTTCCATCAGCTGGTAAACTAATTAAATCTAATTCTGGTCACATTCATGACAAATGAAATCATGAATATCTTTAGAAACTTAGTCAAAAAGTTTCTACATCTATAAAATAAAACTCCAAAAATCCTCATACAAACACCATAGAGGGAGACATGAACCACTGAGTATATCTCCCGCACCCGTCATGGTGCAAGTCTCCCGCATATACTACTTTGACATTAAATTTTACTCACAGGAAAAACAATCAATCTTAGAGAAAAAACACTTAGCTCACGTCAAACTGCAATAATCAGGCAGTACAATAGTAATAAGACACAATACGTACCTCTATAAACACGGCCGCATTCTCAAAACTACATAAATTAATAAAATTTACTCCGCCATAACAAAATTGTAAAAAATAGCGGCGTGCTGGTTATTGACCTTCCGTGCTCTACCAATGACCGTCTTGACGTTTCGTTAGCGCGAAATTTAAGTTGAGTTTTAAAAGGTGGATCAACTCTCCCACCTGAGCAAGCCTCCCGGACTTCCCCTAAATATAATTAAATCTACTTTATTGTAGTTTATTAATTCGTAAGGATCTGCGCGATCTGTTCGATCAATTAGCAATATCTTATCAAAGTATGGCTGTGAGCAATATTAAAGTTAACGGTATAAAGCACGTCGAAAAGACCCTTAAGAAGCCGCCGAAATTGGGTTTGATTACAAGGAACAGTCCGGCTGAGAAGGAAGGGATCGTGGTCAATTCCCAGAAAAAAATATACGATGCCATTGCCGCGGCTAGCATTTTCACCAATTGCGCCGGCATCGACAGCAGCAATTCCCAAGTAATTACCCTGTCAACATTTATGAAATTTTTGGAAACAAGACAAATGGAGAATAAGACTGAGGATGAGGTGAAGAATATAATTCAGGTAAATTTTCAGGGAGAAAAACAACAAAAACGAGACGAATAAATAATCACCCATAAACATTTAACTATCCATTCGTATCTCAAGTGCTTAGTTGTATATTTCATCCAAAGGGTAAGACGCCGTAAGCAATTATGGTTGGGCGAAAGTTCAATTTGGACTTAATCGATAACCTATGGTAATGTACTAGGTATGAGAAGAATATATTAAAAATCGATACGTACATACTATTTTGTTTAAAGTTGGAAAAAATAATTTTTTTCTATAAAATTGCATGACTTTTGGAAGTGCAACCTTTGATCATCTGGATGAGTGCGATCCCATCATCATCATAAGGTCGTCAGTCCTAAGACTGGTTGGACACGTACTTTCACTCTTTCCTATCCTGAGCTAATCTTCGCATTTCCTTAAAACTACAATAACCCCATCCACAACTATTTGCGAGCAGTAATCTAATCTAGGTTTACCTCTACCCCTCCTAACTCCTGTTTCTGCCTCTAATATGTCTCTGACTAGACTTTCATGCCTAAGAAGGTGTCCTACCAACCTATCTCCCCTATTTCTTATTGACTTCCATAAACTCCTTTGTTCTCCTATTCTTTCTAATACCTCATTATTTCTAACCTTTCCTATCCACGTTATCCTCATTCGCCTATAACACCACATTTCGAACGCTTCTAACTTTTTCTTTTCCGCCGAGCCCACTGTCCATGTTTGGCACCCATACAACACTGCGCTCCAAACATACACCTCCAAACATAGAAGTGACTTCTTTTTATTAAAGGCGACACGATCCTGCGTTTTCTTGTGAAAAAAGATACTTCAAGAGAACTTACTCATAATAAATTAATAAAGTAATAATAAATAGATAGGTAACGGGATATTGTTAATTTAGATATTCTATCTTGTTTCAGGTGTTTGGTGGCCGGGATTGGTCTTTGGCGGGCATGACACATTCTGGACAATTCGTGGACTCTCCTGGTGTCTTAAGACGAGAACTGTCCATGAAAATAAAAAAGAAACATATGATATCTCATCACACTTTCAAAGTAATTTAATACAAATGAATCATTACTGATTATAACAGTAGTAATGTTTAACTTGTTGTCTTCCCAGGATCGTAGTTTTCGTGGTCAATTCGTTGAACCATCGACCATGTGCCTGGAAAGTAGCTACTGGAGGAACCCCTCACATCATCGGCAATCCACTCCTACTCCTTTCACAGAACACCCCACTGACGTCACCCGACATTACAGTTTAGGGCAGCTTGCTTCTCATGCTCAGGCAGCAACGAGATTCGACAGGTTTGCAAAGTAAAATTACCCACTGATTATATACTAAATCCAATTAAGTCTCACTAGATAAATTGTTTCTAAACTAAACTATTTTTGACAACATCACTAAAGTGACATAAAATAGAAATTTTATAAAATATTAATCTTTACATGAATTGAGACTCGAGGCCAGTTAGGGTAAAACGGGTTTCATTATTATAAAACCAACCATCGACGTTCCGCCGTGGATTTAAACCTTCTTCAGGGTATGTGTAGTATTGTTAATATATTATGTTAAGTATTCAAATGTGGTTTGTGGCTCAGGATCGTGCTAAGTATTCACAATAACTGATATTTGAACAGAACAATTATAAAGATAAATCAATAAACACTTAAATGATTAAAAAATTACAGCCACGTGGTGTTAATTAATGTTTTATCTTTATAATTGTACCTCCTGTTCAAATAATGGATTATTATTTATAATTTTATCTATATATCTGTTTGTTAAGTTAATTTTTTGTATTGTTAACTTAACTAGCAATCTCACCATCTGAATAACATAATACCTATATAAACGTAAAAAATTAAGCTATAGAGGGGTACAGGTTTTTATGTTTATGTGAAACCACAACCAATGTTTTCCACTCTGTTGAGGTATCATTAGGGTTAGGTTTCTAAGTTATAAGATGAGTACCTAGAAACCTAATCCTCATAATTGAGTGCGAAACGCTGGTTGTGGTTTCACATAAATGAAAACACCTTTGCCCCTACATTATACAATTGTTTCTGGGGAAGAAATGGCAACAGCATAATTTACTACCAGCAAAACATACCTTGAAAAAGACTTTATGACCAAGGCGAAACGTACTGGTGAATAGTACTGTTGTAACAGACCTCTGCAACCGCTTCCGCAATTACAGAAATTCCGCATACATTTCCACATCCACTTCTGCATCTCGTTCCGCATTTTTATAACGGAATTTTATCGGAACTTATTAATTCTTATTTCTCATTTTTTTGAAAATCAATATATCGGAACAATAAAAAAGTAAAAATTTATTTCTTTTATCTGTTAGCTGTACTTGACTTTTTCGAAACGTAATTTAAATATAGGTTTGTTCGGAAAGTCATTTCGTTTTTTTTTTTGGNCTGACCCGACAGTACCTTATATTTTTATCAATAGATATATCGTAATAAAAGTTTGAGTGAAAATTTAATTCAAATATTCTAGGAGGTTGAGATCCTAATGTAAATTATCTCTTAATTTCCAAAGTTACACATACCCATACGTACGCACAGGGCTTTGCTAACTATTTCTCTAGAGAATAATATATTTACAAACTTGGTATTTAGAAGACTCACATAATCTACACTTAATCAGCCCGTACGTGTGTACGTTTTGAGCAGTTGTAAAATATGTTTTAGAGACATGAACCGGACTTAACGTTGCGGGCACAAAACTGCCTTTCGTTTGAGGGTTTTGCCAGGTACTTAATGGACAAAGACAACTTCGCCTACGTCTACGAACAAGAAGTGCCTGTTATTGAAGATATGAATAAACCATTATCAACTTATTATATAGCGTCATCCCACAATACTTACTTAACAGGACATCAGCTCAAGGGAGAATCTTCTGTCGAACTTTACAGTCAGGTATTTCTACAGTAGTCAACTTTCCTATTTCTAGTTTACTCTTACAACCTTAATTTTAGTTATTTCCTTAAGGATATTTGGGAGGTACAATCAGAGACAAGAACACATAAAATTAGAAATTCGTGATTAATTAGGTTTTGCAGCATATCATGAGGTAAATAAATACTATCTATACTAAAAAAAAGTGTACGGTTTGAGAGAAAATTTAGAATTTGACCAAAAACTTTGAATAAAATAAGAAATAACGAATAATATGGAAAATTTTTAACTGACTTTTGGCAGTGAATATGCCTTGATTTCAACTTCGAAACAAAAAAATATTTAGTTTCAATCT